TCCACTAAATTAACCAATGTGGGACTCACTTCCAATAATCCTCAACAAAATTATTGTTATTTGTCTCTCCTCTCTCGACATATCTTCACAAGTACGCGAGTAGTATTTTCACAGAGCGGTATCAGAGCATTCTATCGTTAGTGTGTGTGAAATTTACTTCACAGATTAGTGAGTTTTATTTTAACATTAAAATCGCCTTCAACTCTCTCTTTAATGCTTCACATTCTTGATAATTTTCGAAACTCGCATGGACCAGAGAATCAATAGAGTCACCAACAATCCACCGAGTATCACCCAACTTTTCCTCGTCGCTCCAAGTTTAAATACGGAAGCATTTACTTGAAACTAACAAAATTGAGAAACCTTAATGATTAATTATTCAGATACTAATTATTCCGACATAAATTTTTCAACAATCATTTTTGTCATCGGTGGCTAATTACCCAAAAGACATGACATGTAATCTTTGCCACTCAATCGTTCGCAATTGCTCTTTAAAGTAGCTATCGTGGCTAATTATCCAAAAAGTAGAACGTTTAATTTTTACCACAAAATTTTGTGTGATCACTCTTTAAAGTGAGCATGGTAGCTAGTTATAAAAAACATACAACATGTCATATATGTCGTAAATTTTTTTTTTAACAATAGTAACAAGCAAGTCAAGTCATGTTCTTCAATCATACATCGTAATCACAAGTCACAAAGCTATATAAATGCATGCATGTCCAACGATTCAAAAAGCAAAATCATTTATATGTAATAGGAAGATTCCTTCTCTTGTAGGTTTTCGTTATCCATCGTCACAATTATTGGTCTAATTCGACCTAGACCAAACCCTACATTCAAATAATAACCGAAGATCCATAAAGCTTTATTACTCAGGAAAAACCAATTTGATTCTTTTTCACCCAAAAAAAAAGGTTGACCAACAACTACTGCACCAAGAAATCATAAGTTAACATGAGTGAATACTTTGAGACAAGAACGATGAAGCTTCGCACCAATAATTGGCATCATGTGGCGCAAGGAAGAAAGATGATCCTTCCTCGTCTTAGGATCAACCAACTTTGCAAGCGGTTGGAGCTGCAGGGGCTTGAACGGTCGGAGGTTGAGGAGACACAACAAGAGACGATAATGGATGGTGACAAGGACTTATACGGAGAGAAAGTAAAATTCAGATTATCTTGTTCATTTAATATGTAACGTCCCGAATTTTCTTAGCTTAAATTAGTGGTGTTACCCATGCATTAATATCTAGAAGTTCGGACATAAAACAAAAAAATATAATAAAAAAAGTAATATAATATGAAGGCCCTCTAAAATTCTTTCAACTTTTTAGCTCTCTTCCATCCGAAGTGTTGAAAGTAATTCAAGTCATCGACCAAATAAAATAAATTAGTGATTTCTTTATAAATTTTCGCTTTTATCTTTATTTATTTATCACAACTTTTTCTTTATTTTTGTGAAGATCGAATTTCCATGAGAATTTTTTTTTTCATTTTTTAATTATTTTTTGACCCAACTTTTTTAATCATTTTCATTTTACAATATAATTTTAATATAATATATTATTCATTATCAACATAATATTTAAAAAATTAAATTTTAAATTATAATTTAGTTTTCCGCTTAAAAAAGGTGCATCGTAGTTTTAATTTAAATATTAAAGTCATAGTTTCAAAATCTTAGATTTTAGAATCTATAAGTAATAATATTTATAAGAAACTATAGTCTTTAGACGATTGTTGAGGATTGTTGGGAGGGAGTACCACATTGGCTAATTTAGGGAATGATCATGAGTTTATAAGGAATAGTATCTCATGGGTACGAGGCCTTTTGGTAAGCTCAAAGCAAAGTTATAATAGCCTATACTCAAAGGGGACAATATCATACTATTATGGAGAATCGTGATTCCTAACATGGTATCAGAGTCATGCCCTAAACTTAACCATGTCAATAGAATTTTCGAGGGCTCCAAAGAAAGGGGTTGAGCCTCGATTAAGGGGAGGCTTATAGTGCACTTTGTTCAAGAAGAGGATGGTTGGAAGTGGACAATATTATACCATTGTGGAGAGTCGTGATTCCTAACAACATCCATGACCTCTCTTAAGCATCAAGTTCATGCACAATTGGTAGTTGTCTAGACCCAAAACCATAACCTTCGATTTAAGTCTGCATCATGCATTCAACTAACCCCAAATTCGGTCTCATTCAATTAAGCATAACGATATGCATTGAACTTACTAGATAAGACGTGACTCCTGAACTTCCAATACTTCAAAACATCTTTTCGCTTAAGCTTCAATCGAACTTATTACTCCATAGCTTTTATTTGAGATTCGAATAACTCCAAAAGTAAGATTAATGTCAAGCTTGAATGATTTTAAAGTGGTCATGAGTAGAATTACGCAAAAGACATAACATGCCATCTTTGCCGCAAAATCTTTTTTAACATAGTAACAAGCGTGTCAAGTCATGCATAAAGTAGGTCGTAAAATATTTATAAATCATGTTCTTCCATCATATATCATAATCACACGTCACAAAGCTATACAAACGTATGCATGTCTAACAATTCAAAAAGTAAAAACAACAGGAAGATTCCTTATCCAGTAGGTTTTCGTTAGCAATCGCAACAAGTATGGTCCAATTTGACCTAGACCAAACCCTACATTCAAATGATAAAAGATCCATAATATTTTATTACTCGTAGTTTTCTCTCGAAAAACCAGTTTGATCCTAAAAGGTTGACCAACAACTATTGCACCAAAAAATCATAAGTTAACATGAATGAATACTTGAAGATAAGAACGATGAAGCTTCGCACTAATAATCGGCATCATGTGGCGTAAGAAAGAAAGATGATCCTTCCTCATCTTAGGATCAACCAACTTTGCAAGTGGTTGGAGCTTGAGCGGTCAGAGGTTGAGGAGGCGCAACAAGAGACGATGATGGATGGTGACAAGGAATCATCCCGAGAGAAAGTAAGATTTAGATTATCTTGCTGATTTAATATGTATGTCCCTAATTTTTTTTTTTAGCTTAAATGGGTGGCGTCATCCATGCATGCATTAATTTCATATGTAGAAATTCATATATAAAATAAAAAATGTAATATAATATGAAGCGTCTTCTCTCCTATAATGGTTCTCCAATCCAAAGTGTTCGAAAGTAATCCAAGTCATCGTCCAAATAAAATAAAATAGTGTTTTCTTTATAAATTTCCGCTTTATCTTTATTTATTTATCACAACTTTTCCTTTCCCATTCCCATTCTCGTCCCCGGGAACTTTTTTATTTATTTTTGTGGAGATCGTATTTCTACGAGAATTTTTTTCTCATTTTAAAATTATTTTTTGACAAAACTTTTTTAATACATCATTTTCATTTTACAATATAATTTTGTATAAAAAAAATGTAAATGAAATATAATATATGATCATTATCAGCTTAATATCTAAAAAATTACATTTTAAATTATAATATAGTCTTTCCACGTAAAAAGGTTCAACATAGTTTTAATTTAAGTATTAAATTCATAGTTTTAAAATCTTAGATTTTGGAATATATAAGTAATAATATTTATAAGAAACTACCGTCTTTCGTCCATTGTTGAGAATTGTTGGGAGGAAGTCCCACATTGACTAATTTAGGGAATGATCGTGAGTTTATAATTAAGGAATAGTATCTCCATTGGTACCAGGTTTTTTTGGGAATCTCAAAGCAAAGCCATAAGAGCTTATACTTAAAGTGGACAACATCATACTATTGTGGAGAGTCGTTATTCCTAATATGGTATCAGAGCCATGCCCTGAACTTAGCCATGTCAATAGAACACTTGATAGCCTAAACGGATCCTTAATGATAAGAAATCACTACAAGACCCTTGTTAATTGAATATGAGGAGATTCAAATTACTCTACAAATAAGATTAATCATATTAAGCTAGAATAATTTTAAACATAGAACACTTCCCCTATTAACAAGGAATCACTTAAATTTAGATTACTTCATTTTTTGTTTAAATTTTTTTTTGTTCATTCAGATAATTTCAAGAATTATCCAATTCACTGTAAAAAAAAGTTTTTCTGTTGGTTTTTTGTATCATGTCCAAAAAAGTTGATAGACTGGGTGGATATGTAAAAACTATTCTTGTCTTTTCTGTCACTTTGGCATGTATAAAAAAAATATTGTGCCATTTCAGTTCTAACAGCATTTTCTAATCTGTTACTTTTATATATATATATATATATATATATATATCGAAATGGACGATTCCATCGTTTATACTTGAAACGAATAGTCACAAGAGGTTTTTCAAACCAGAAATCTTTTTCATCTGTATCTAAATCTAACTGCATTTTGTAATTTTTTTTATTTCCATCCAAAGGGTAAGAAGTTTCATAATCAAGGAAGGGTAAGAAGTTTCATAATCAGGTCTTTTTATCTTTTGATAGCGTGTTCTTTTAAAGTGAAATTTTAAAGTGGTCCATTCACTCGGATCTCTTCCGTTTCATCAATTTTGTCCTTAAATTTAGATTACTTTGTTTATCAAATATCTCAAAGTAAAAACACTCCCGGAGATTCAACTCTCTACCAGCAAAATCAATATGTCTCAAGTTTAAAAGATTTTAAACATACCATCAAAACCACCCTTTTCTAAAGAAATGCAAGCTTACTTTACAATAACAACATTCATTGCTATAAAAACAACATTCATCATAGCTCTTCAAAATAAAATCATTAACTTTCCATGAGACAATTCAAGAGTGGTAACATTCATATCTTAGACAATAGCATAATTAGTCACTATATAAACGTAACCTTAATATAAATAATTATCATCCATCCAAAATAAACGTAACCTTAATATAAATAATCATCATCCATCCAAAATTTGAAGCTCATCTTCAATGAAGATGGTTAATTAGTTTATTCCATGTAATCTAGTAGATTCAAAGTCATGGAAGTAGATGAAGCTCTAGAGGGAGAACTGTGAAATTGAAACAAAATCGCTGAGATCTCAAATTACAACTGAAATTGTGACCGTCAAAACACGATCTCCATAGATGAAAGTTGAAAAAGGAACATGAAGATACGATGGATTATAGCTCTCATTACAAACTTTCTTAAATATGGTTCAATACAAATTAGCATTGTATAATATCATTAATATCATCAACTGGAGGAGAGTGTCGTGGATCCAAGATGAAACAGCAGACCAACAATTGTGAAGATACTGATTAGTATTCCTCCAACAAGAATCCTATCGACGACGCCCCACTCATCCATGCTTCCTCCAGCCGATGCCTGCTTTCTCTCGGACACTACCGGACTTTCCCTTTCCTCCCTTTTGGGCGCATGGCTCTTCCGTTTCCGCAATAGCCATTCAACCAGATTCTTCCGTTTGGGCTCTTCAGGCAATGGGATATTTCTTGAAGAATCATCTTTCTCATCCAGAGCAACTGGTCCTTTGCAGCAGCTTTCTGGTCCACAAGCGCAAGCTTCGGGTTCCACGGAACATGCACATGTTTCATGAGCATCAGAGCAGGGAGGAACTTTGGCTTGAATCGGCATGTCTTCGAGAGCAGTTGTTTTATGATGTTTGGTGACGATGGTTTCAATCACTTCCCCGAAAACAGACCATCTTCCAACGGATGTTATCTTCACCAAAGCAGAAGTTCCCAGCATAGTTTCATGGCCAATTACTAGCACCTGTATGTACCCCTTGGTATGGCCAACCTGGGGGAGCAATATAAATTGAGCTTATCGAAAAAGAAACAACAGTTCTTTGAAACATTAGATGATCAAAAGTATATAAAAACAGCAGTTTTATGAGATGGCTCATGCACTAAAATGCATATGGGAATTGAAATTGATTAAGAACCAGTTAACAATTAACTACAGGATGGTATTCCAATTCAAAGGAATGAAACAAAGCTAACAACAAAAGAAACTCCAATGGAAGGATTCCCACGGGAAGGCAAACCAAGCAACCTCCCAAACTTCCTTCAAAATCTCTCCGCTCGCTAAAAATTATGTTGTCCCTATCTAGCCTACCACAAGTTTCCTCCCAAGATCTCTCCAAACCTAGATCCATAACTAATAACATTTTCTTCAATCAATTGTCCGAGAGAATTTGGCCCTTTTCTAAAAGTTTTGTTAAATTTCAAAGGTGAAATTTTGCAGAACTTGCCAAATTAACGACTGATTTCTGATTTCTCTCCCATGGAATATTGATGTTTTTCACTACTTTCTTACGTGTGAAAATCTCAGGCTTGAGTGAATGTGAATCAACTAAGTCAGTACAACTGCAACTGATTCTCCACACATTTCCTACCATTTGGACTCGCTGAACTTTCATTCCCTACCATTTGAAACTCTTGCTCGTCATCTTTCTTGGCCATGCTACTTCTCCGTTCTCTATACAAAAAATGATGCAACCTCGCAACCAAAAAATAGAACCCAAGGATAACCTTTTTTCTTTTTTAATTACTATTCCGAAGTCTTTACAAGAGACTATCCTCTGGATGCCAACTGACAAGCTAAGTAAAACCCAGTTACAAACAAAGCAATCAATTAACAAACTAATTCAACTACCAAAACCCTTTACCTAAACCCAACTAACAACTAACAATTAACAAACTCAGCCAAAAATTACAAGATTATCCCTAGTCGGCTAATCTACTACATCACAAACTTAACATAACCAAAGACTTCAGCCCATACTTCAGCTCACGATCTAAGCTTACCTTCTAAAGGTTTACTATTTATTCCTATCCAAGTTCACCACAAGATAGTGTTAACTTGTGGTCTTAACTGCAAGAGTGTAGGCCGTACAGAGAACAGGCATTCCACAGCCCAGGCCTTGGGTTAGGAATGGTCTAAGCTAATGTAAATAGTATATTTTATATACGTATATGAAAGAATGAATAAAATTTAACTCCCCTCATGAACAAGCCAATTACATATTGTCTAAAGAAGCAACGTCAAATAAGACATGTTTGAAGAAAATCCTTTTTTTGAAGAATGTTTAAAATTAACTAAGATTAATAGAGCATACTTATATTTTAAATATTGGGTTGATTGTTTTGAGATGGAATGATGGAGGGTTTCTCTATGGTCAAGATATTTGCTAGACTCTTTTAATTAATTCAATGAAATATTTTGTTTCTTGTTAAAAAGAAAAAATAACTTAGTTATTAAATGCTAGGTAGAAATGCAAAAGTCCTTATGTCTTGAAATCCTAATTTTGGTCAGGGTATCTACTTCTATTTCACTTAAAGGCCAACAGATGGTACAGCTGGGTTTTTCCTCGTGTAGAACATGGTGAATTAAAATGTTTATTGATTGATAACTCCGCCAGTAGATATTTTCTATCTTTCTTTTTACTCTTTCCAATAAACATTTTCTATAATTTTTTAAGCATGCAGCCTGAGTCTAAAATTTTATATGGATTCTCAAAATGTCAACAGTGAATTTTACCAGTTTTTTTTTTTATCCTATTTTCTCCCTTTTCTTGTTTGTGTTACTGTAAACACAATTTCATTTACACTAGCTAAAAGGTCAATTAAACAGCCTTAATGTCTCAAATTTGGGCCTAAAACTGATCCAAACAATTTTTCTCACCATTGTCCTAACTATTTTGTGTAGAAGCAGCCACCTGAAACAACTGTAGGCAAATACATGGAAGAATTAGAAACAAATACACTAGACAGCATCGCTTTCTTACCAAGTGAATTCCATCAGCTGCAATTTCTGTAATCCAAATTCTTTCCACTCTGCCCTCCATTCCATTATATGGAGTAAAAGCTTCAAAAACTGAAGTCAACTCGCGGCTTCGTTTCTTGACAATAGCACTTGGAACTTTCTTCATCCTAGCAGCAGGTGTCCCTGAAGGACAAGAGAGAAGAATACTGTTTTTTTCATTTTAAATAGTTGACGGCTGGAAATATTAGTTTTAAGTAATCACATTCTATTTACTTGGAATCAAAGAAGTTCCAAAACCTAGTCTAGCCAGATAAATCCAAGACAATCAATTTAATGAAAGAAATTGCTACAGCCAGGGTTCTTCTAAGGTAACATGGGCAAACTGTTTGATTGCTGGATTTTGCACATGCATGAATAATTCATCTTAGTCATTCAATCATTTGTTGAGGCTAGTATCACACTGTTTCATCTGAATAAGTATAAAATAGGTTGTTTGTATGATAGAGGGATCAATAAGTAGCAGTTGCTCTTTAAAATTAGACAAAGAAATGTTGAGTTTCTACCATCCTAACAAAAAAAAACCTTCCAAACAAAACGAAATGTGATTCTTCGTTCAATGTCTCTTTGGCTTTATTCTTTTGGTTTGAATCCCTTTATGTTTAGTTAGGTTTTTTTTTTCAGAATTTTTTTCTAGGTTGTTTTTTGATGCCCTTTTGCTTTCTTCTATTTTTCTCAGTCATGTTAAGAAAAAAAAAATTAGACAAATTAATAAATTAAAAAACCTTGGTCCTAATAAGTTGCAAGCAACAACAAGAAAACTAAATGAGAAGGGATATAAAAGTGTTTGGATTAACAAATATATATATATATTGCTTCCTAGGTAATCTTATTGCCACATCCTGGGAAATAAACATTTTAAGCATGTGATGTGTCTCCTGAATAATACACAAGGAATAGCACAAGGTTCATCCTAATTTGAGATAAGAGGATTATTAAGCTAGTCATTATCATTCAAGTCTAACTGTTACCTTCTTTAGTTAAAGTCTATGAAAAGAAATAAGGAGGCTTGAACATGATGCCATACCTGGTCGAGGATAGAACTGTGAGATATGAACTTGGGGTAATTTGTACTCTTTAATAAGGTTGATAGTTTCACAAAAATCTTCATCCGTTTCCCCTGAAAAGCCACAGAATTAACAAAAGTTTGGCAATCATTCACATGTAATAAAATTTTAAGATATTATGCTCCGCAAAATGCGAATTAATGTTGTATACAACATTGGAGGAGATAAACATTCAAGATGATACAAAGCAAAAAATGGGGGATAAAGGCCCTGACAAACCTAACAGAAATAATCTTCACACTGCCGCATAGCGACCAAAACAAACCACTCATACTTGAACTTTAGTATTTTTCAGTTGTTTTCTTGATAAAAAAAAAAAAAATTGAACAAGGAAACGAGACAGTAAAAATAACAAGAGGAACTATTACAAAAAGAGGGGGAGATGAGGTATCCCACAAGGCCAAAGGGTTACATTTTCATAATAATCAATATAGTTGACCATTATGAAAATCAATATTTTAAAATGTCTGTAAGTAATAGATCAAATCTTGCATCTTTGAGGAGAACAATAATTTTATAGATTACACTGTTTCAGCAGTTGGTGTTTTGCAACAAGGAAATCAATGAAGGTGAAAGTTTCATTTCCCATCCAAAACAGTATGCAAAGAATAAAAACCCATGCAAACCAATAGAGAGACAACAATAGAAGTATAGGGATCAATCAATCGCCTCAAACCCACTTACTAACCAGGAAATCCACATATTATATCAGTTGCGACCTGCATCCCAGGAACAAGCTCAGTTAAGGTATCTACTACAGTCCTGAACTCACTGACTGTATATTCTCGATTCATTGCCTGAGAGAAAATGTAATGATTAGGACTACAAGTAATTTCCTTCCTCAAAACTGTACTGGCCTCAAGTCACTAAAAACAAATCTAAGAAAATTTGGGTATAGACAATACTTACACTTAAGATTGTGTCACTCCCAGATTGAACTGGCACATGCAAAAAGGAGTATACACATGGATGACACAAAACATTAGCTATCTCTTTCAAATGCTCAAGAATGAAAGGAGGATTTGTCATCCCAATCCGAAGCATTGTGCTTGCATCAGGAGGAAGCTCGGCAACAATTGCATTTAACAAAATTGGAAGATTGACCCCAATGTCACGGCCTGAAATTTCATCATATGATATTAGGAAGGACAAAAAAAAAAAAAAACACAGGAAAGAACTTGTAACGTGGATACGACACGACATGAACAGGCGACACATCAATTTCCAAAAAAGTAGGACACAACAGATTGGGGAAACATTTGTTTTATTTTTTAAAATGTGTATAATTTGACATGTTATGAATATTTAATACTTCTAATGTAACGTTCTACATTTAAACATCAAAAGAACATCCATAAAATTCATTAAAAAGATAATGATAAGATAACAATCAACAAAAAACATCAACTATATCCAATATTCAACAAGTCTTACACAAAAAACTTCAACATCAACAATATTCAATGTTCAACAAGTCTTACACAGAAAACTACAAGATAGAATCAAACAAAACAAGTCTTCTACATACTACATATTTTCCCCATCCTTGTCCTCTTCACCAATGGTCACTAGTGATCAACGACAACCGACAACTGTCATTCATTGTTGTCGTTGATGAGCAGTTGTGAAGAATTTTTTTTCTTGTCGTGGATGCAAGATTTGAGGTTGGAAGATGATGGTAAGAAACCCTAATACTTTGAGGTTTATATGCAGAGTGGGCTTTCTTTTAAATGATCTTAAAAGACTTGAAACTTGAAAAAAAATTGGCATTACATGTCTTAACCGTGTCTTTGTGTGTCCCTAGCTGTGTCCGAGCATGTCCTTGCCATGCCAAAAAATGAAAAATAATATAAAAAACAATAATAGCATGCCTTATTTCAAGGTTCAAATTTCATATTATTAGAAAAACATGTGTCGACAACGTGTCGAAGTGCGATATAAGTCTGACATCAATACTTGGCCCTTTTACAAGTAATGATACTTTATAGCCAAGGACAAATATTTTATGATCTTAGAGATCCTTGGATAATATGTATGCCTTATTTCAAGGTTCAAATTTCATATTATTAGAAAAAATGTATCCAATATTGAAAATTATCATAGTATTCATGATACAAAACCAATCATTGGTTCTCTTCAACCTATAGATCACTATGTCGTGTTTTTTCTAATCTTACAAACGACCACCCAAACAAATATACAAGATCTAGACTTAGAGATATATTGAAGATTATACATGACTTCGATTGTATCTCAATGGAAAGCTTTTGTTTTGATCATTAGACCAACCTATTGTTGAAATATTAAAATACAAATAAAAGCACTGAAAAGCAAGGGAAAGAAGAATAACAAAATAATTATTCTTCAGAGAACAATTGTTTTTTGTCTCGACATATTTGGAGGGGTTTAGTTCGTATCTTGGTTTTATTTGTTCATCTATTGACCTAGCTAATCATGCTCAGAGAAGTCTTGGTAATGGTCTCTCAACCTCTCTTTGGCCTGATTCCTGGTTGAGTTGTAGTGTTACTGCTTGGTTTTTCCTTGACTTTTTAGTTTGACAACTCATCCACATTGCGATTGTTGAACCCTCAATTCACTCTGCCTAATTACATTATATGATGCATGAACCTCCATATGTCATACCATATATTATGTTAACATGTTCACTCTATGCCTACGAGAAATTGATAAACCATATATGTTAACCATGAAAGATAGGATATATTGCATGTCTCATAAGAATGCTATGTTATGAAAAGAATGGAGGTACAACTTACATGATAAGTATATGTCATGATTTGATACTATGGAACCTCATGCATTTTGTATGTCACGTGCATCAAGATGCTTCCCCGTTATGATTTGTATGAGTGCGTACATTACGATATTTATGTACCCCATGATATTATGCAAGCTATTTTTCCTTTGTGGCTCCGACAGAGTGAGCATGTGCTAGTCAAAGGCCAAACCCAAGAGGTATGTATACAAGCCCGCTTGGAGGGTCCATGTGCGCGTGGTGGGCCGTGTGGAGAAATACTACACATCCACTTTCGTCCAAACTGAAAAGTAGAGTTCAAGACCATGATGTTTTTATGAAAAAATAGGTCCCAACATGATCACATGTGATTATATTTCACGACCTCAACAATAAGGCTACTTCCTGAGTATTCCTATAAATACTCATGTCATGTGCTACTTCTTTCTCCGGTAAAGGTAAGGCACCTTTGTACGGATGATAGCGTAGTTGTGGAGGCTATGGGAATGAAGTTAGGGTAGTCGCATTTACATTTAACGTTGTAGCCTTCAGATTAGATCAGGGTGTTTCCATTCATTTGAATTTCTTGCTATTTTGATTTCTGTTATTATTGTTAACATCACTTTTACCTTCATTTTAAATGAATTTTGCAAACGTTTAAGTCCATGGAAACGTTTACTTGTGATTGTTCTAATGAATTTTTGCACATATTAGGCATATCACATCTCTATTTTATTAAGAAAAATAGGGCCATTAAAAATCTTGTACAAACTATCATGAAAGTTTCTTCTAGTGACAATCATAGCAAAATCCCAATAATAAGACCAACCTAAACCCTCAATCCCCTTCAACAAGACTACCATTTAATGACAGTGGAGCGGGGGAAGAATTTTTGGTAGGTAAAAGGGTTTAAGAGTAGGTTCATTAGTAGTCTTTGGTAGGTAAAAGGGTTTAAGAGCAGGTTCATTAGTAGTCTTGTTGAAGAATGGAGGATTTTAGGTTGGTAAACCACCTTTAATGGTAGGGCAGGGTAGTTAGCTATGAGATTATAAAAAACATCCCAGCCTTTTCATTCTGCATCAATAGGTACAAAGAGTTTGTTTAACCCTCCTTGGTATGTAGAAGGACAACCTCGACAAGAGTATCTTTCTTGTTTGCAATTTTTTCAACTCAGATAACCCATTGGGTAAACCACTCTTCTCTAAAGAACTTCCCATTTAAAGGAGCACACGTATGTGTGATAGTAACAACCATTTCAAAGGTTCCTAATGTAAAGGTATGAAGAAAGCCTTTCTTGCGTAAATTCTGAGACCTTTACTCTATTCCTTTAATATCTATTGTCTAACTCTAAGAGTACTTCTTCCTTTTGATAGTAACAATTTTCTTCTGGTGGGTCTATTGCCATGGTCAGGGACGGGTGGTGTGAGTTTGGCCATGGTTTTTGATGGGGGTCAGGTGGTGGATTGGGGGAGAGAGGGAGAGAATCAGCATTGAAAGAAGCTTACGAAATCATCATCGATTCAAGTATAGCAACCTAAGAATAAAGAAAGAGACGTCTCCCGAAAGAGAGAGGAGGAAAGAAACATAATTGGTCCACCAACCCCACAAGGAGGTGAGTGAGGGAGGGAGAGAGCACACTTTAATTTTCATAAAAAGAACCATAATTGGTCCCCTCGAGCCCAAGAGAGAATATTCCTCAACAATAAAAGCAAGCAATTAATTCCTCAAAAAAATTTAAACTATTTTTTATAATGCATATCCATTAAAAAATGATAATTGGAAAAAATGAGATGTCCATAGTGATGAAGAATATAAGTTTCATTCAAAATTTTGATGGTTTTGGGCCATAAATCTTAATTGATATTAACATTTTTTGAAAATCCTACTCTATATATTTCTATGGATTCAATGTTCTCTTCTGATAAAATAACTCAATCAACACTATATATATTTCTATGGAAGTAGAGTAAAGTACCATATGCCCCAGTATCTTCACTGCTCAACCATATTTCCCGGACTCCTTCATTGATGACAGTTCTTACACGATTTACCTGCAAATACAGTTTTAATAGATGTTTCTTCAGATCGAACAGCATTAAGTTTCTAACTGAAAAAAAGGGACATATGTTTAACAAAAACCATACATTAGTTTAAAGTTCTTACAAGGCTATCTACTGTGTAACTTCCCAAGTGACCACGAGCATGTTTTGTCTTGCAATAAGTGCAAGCACCTAAACAGCCAACATTGATTGGTAGTATTTCGATGAACTTGTTCTTTCTCACCTGTTCAAAATTAAAAATCAAAATAAACTTCTTTAATAGTTAGCGAAAGGGTAAGACAAAGATAATGTATGTTAAAGAAGCTTCTTAAATCAAACTCAAATAGAAGACTCAAAAGGCTAGAACAGGAAACAATTCGCACTTTTGGGAGGTCAAGCGCTGGCAGTGTCTTGCGATTCAATAGCCTTACTTCATGACCCTTCAGTGTCTCTTCCACAACTTCTACCACACGGTCAATCTGCTGGACTCCTACTATACTGACCCCTTCTAGCTCCTTTAAATCTCGACTACCTTGTGGTACACACCCAGCTACCACAAGAGGCTTTTTTGCATTTTTGCATTTTGTTATTAGAGTGTCCATAGCAGACTGACTAGGGGATTTAACTGTGCAACTGAAAAAATAGTTATCCGGCTATTAGTTCAGAATTCCAAATATTGTCTCTTTTATAAGTGGAGAAAGGGAAAAAAATTCATGACTGTCTATGCAAAAATATATATCTGTGTCAAAGCACATATATGCACAGCTATCTACATCAAAGAACAATAATGAAGAGAAGACACTAGGTAGGTTAGAGGAAGTTAAAGGTTAATGTCCTTACGAAGATGTAATAACCGACCTGGGAAAGAGAACAGTTTACTGAATAAATGATGCAGAGACAAATGGTACACTTAAGGCCAAGAAGGCACATTAGAGGCACAAAAAACCATTAGAAAGTATTCACAGGCAACTTATGTTTTCTGGCAACTAAGAAAGAAATTTTCACTGAACATTTCTATAAAATTAAGACAAAATAAGAAACGGTAACATTTGAAGGAACAGATCATACGTATTTATGAGCCACAAGTCTGCCTCTTCAGGATTCTCGCTTAACAAATAACCAAATGCTGAAAGCTGACCAGCCATATATTCGCTGTCACTCTGTTGTTGAAAAAAAAAAACAATGATGAAAATTGTATCCATTTTTTATTTTAGCAATGGTGACACAGAACGCACCATTGAGAGAAGAAAAGTAGTAAATAAATAGACAATTAAAATGGAAAACTAAAAACATCTCAATTTAAACATATATCTTGTAAAAAGGAACAGCAAAATACTTGGAGAGAGAACATCATGATGAAGCCTTTAATCTTGGAGATTCAAAAACTATCAGCCCAAGAAGGTTGTTTATTATTGAAAATTATTTCATTCCTCCCAACCACGACATAAGATAACCACATTTATCCATAGTACATTCAGGTTTGGTAAGTTTCTTCTCCAATCCAAAATACTAACCTCAAACTTTCATTAAATTATTTAAAATTAATCACCAATGATACAAGAGAAGACCTCATCAGTATTTTTCCTCCCTCATGACAGATGCATTCTACATAAAAGTGATAACATGAACATAAATCATCTATTAAATATTTGTGCTTTTGCAACAAGAATTTCTTGGGTTCGTCCAAAACAGGAGAAACTTGTGATACCTATCTCACATCAAGCTTTTTTCCATTGCAGACCATAAAGAACGAAAAGAAAGATAACTCATGAAGAATGCACTTGGACACTGCTGTTTCTTTTACACTTCTAGTGCTGTCAAATAGCTTTCTATGATGAACATCTAGGCAGTGTGTGGAGATTCTCACTCGAGCAAAAAATTAATATAATTTGACGATTCCAACTTTATTCCATTGAGCTTGTAGTATTGCTTATATTTCTCCTCTAAATAGGACTAGTCCTCTTGAAAAATAGGATCATTGATAGCTTTTTCCGATCTTTATTAGGAAAAGAAAATATAATAATAGATTTAATATATGATGTGTCTGTGTCACGCATTTTATCTACTCGCAAAAAGTTCTAGTTTTACACTTATAACATTGCACTGAAAACTTTTACTCTAAAATCAATTTACAACAACTGGAAGCCTTAGATAAAACGCATAAAAGATGAAACAATGATGGAATGCACAGTGGAAATAGTAAAGTCCAGTTTCATGTCACAACAAATTGCAAGGATAAAAACTAATAACCAATCATCCTCTATTTGGATTAGTATACAATAAACAAACTCTAAGGGGATTAAAGACTCAGCCATTCATTTAAGCCAATGAAACAATAGAAAGCAATTTAATACGCGAGGTGTGAAGGACTAACCTGGTTGTGAGAACATCCAAAGGTTTTAACATAAATTGTCTGCCAAAATACATCGACGCATAAAGTTATCAGTATCCGCAAGAGAAATGCGAACATCAAACAAAAAAACACTCAAGGCGATAGAAGAAGATATGAAGAGAGAGACCTGAGTGCCTGGAATCTTAGGTGCAAGTAGATTTTGGGTTGGAAAAAGCCCGCTGCTGGAATCATCAGCATCAGGATTAGATTTCAGCTTATTCTTCTTCTTCGGCTTTACGCCGACGGCGGATATTGGAAGTCGGTAACCAGGGGGAGCTCCGCCGCCGCCGCCGCCGATGAGCAAGTCTTCTATGTCTTCCATGGCTTACAGTTTCCTCCGCTGAAGAGACGAGAAGGGCAGCCGCGGTGCTTCGCTGCTTCTGCTGCTCCTCCTTCTTCTACTACGGATTGGGCTCAATAGTTAGTTCTCAAACTTACCAGCCCAAGTCCATTTCCTTTTAATATTAGAGAGAATTAATTTACAATTTTTCAAAATTTTAATTAATTGTTTTTTTTTTAATTAATAATTGGAACTTGGAAGTAGCAAATTGTAATCAAATAATACACGCTAAACATACCAAGTTTACATTAATTAATTGTAATCAGTAATATATTTACCAATTATAAGTTCAATAATTAACAGATATATATAATTTATTGAACTTATAATGGTAACCTTAATTAAACTGATTATGTATCATTATTTATTATATTTTTGTAAAGTTTTATACAAATTAGGCTAGATTTTTAATTACTAATGCAAATATTTAATAAGATAAAATACACTTTTCGCATATCAAATAAATAAATAAATAATACACTTTTTCGGGACGTTTGTAAGCGATTGTGTGGCACTCATTCTCACTACTGAGTAAGTCAGCCTATTCGAATTCGAGTTGTCGTTGATTGAACGTATACCAAGCCTCTAGCCCTGCTTTGAGAATAAATTTTTAGAAAACAGGGCAAAGAGATTTTCGAACTAGCGTTTGAAAGTAACGTTAGGCTAGTAAGCAAAAAAAGTAACACAACGGCTTAGATAATATATAACTCTGAGAATGAAGAATTGACAATTAGTCGCATCCCCTATAGTATATTTTGAGGCATTTCAAATCTAGCAAGAGTAAATGATTTGTCGAAATCTCATGCTCCAAAATTACAAGCTACTACAACAAGAAAGCAATAAAGAAATAGAGTATATATACAAGGGGTTTGGTATGAGATGGGAAAGCGATCATGGGCAACACACCTTGGACAAACATGATCGTGATATCCTTCCCCACCGAGTAGGTTGATGTCCCTATCAACCGTCTACTTTCTTCAACTCAGCGATTTGATGTGTTGCCGAATTCAAGCCATCCATGCATATCCAACTAATTTCTACATCTCGGAGCCCTTTCAACTTGACCAATAATTCTTGAACGTTTCGCCATGGGTTACCAATGTAACGTGTTTGCTCGGCTAAGATCTCTTCTATTTCTTTCCCACTTGTATCCTTTATCGTGATCAGAGGTCGTTTGAATTCATTGCGCCTATAGACATCATCGTCTAGGTGATATAGTTTCAAATTACTGACATGGATAATAAGGTGAATTTTCATCCATGCAAGAAATTGAAGTCAGTATGAAGTCTACCCCACTTTTTTTATGATGTCGACGCGTCCTTCATACTTCTGCACTAGTCTTTGATCCTTATTACCTTCGAGTAGAAATTGTTATGGTCTCAGCTTGATTAGAATTTGGTCATCTCCTTGAAACTCCATTGGCCCGTGTTTCATTCAAGTCTATCCATTTCTTCATTTGTTGTGGACCTTTTTCTAAATCAGTGTGCGTCACTTTAGAAGTTTGCTTTCACTTTAGGGTAAAGTTATAGGCTTGTGGACTCTTCCCATCCAGTTGATCAATGATATGGAGCACGAGTGGTTATTTTCCACATACTATCTCGAAGGTTGTCTTTCCTCAATGAGCTTTGTTGACAATTGAAGCTAAATTGAGCAAATCGTGCATTTAAACCCAATTATTATGTTGTGCATCGATAAAGTGATGCAAGAACTCTTCAAGCATGTTGTTTATGTTGTGCATCGATAAAGTGATGCAAGAACTCTTCAAGCATGTTGTTGAACTTTTATCTTGTTGAATTGGAATGATCCTCCTGTAGGGACATGGTTTTCTACTGCTCTCATGGTGAGGTTCAGGCGCTCAGGTCGACCATTGATATTGGTTTGGGTAGTCCAAGGGAATTGACGGTGACTCCATTTGCAAGTAAATAATGCAACTTTTGATAATATTGGATATTGAACACAACTCTTTTGTGAGAAACACTCACACTCTGTGTTAAGACAAATCAAGAAGAGATTGTTAAAAAGATATTCGGTAGAAACTATTGAAAGGGTGGAGGAGGATTTATAGTAGAGGCTAGACAATGTTACCAAATTTATTTCAAAAATATCTAGATCTGTGTTATTAAAATATCTAAATATCTCTCCTAAAATACATAGAGCTCCAGTCATATACTTTCTTGAGCTGCTTTAGCCATTGCTCTATACTCTGCTTCTATAGCTAGCAACTGTGAGATCTCACATCGGTTGAAAAGGGGACAAAACATTCTTTATGAAGGTATGACAACATCTCCCTATATATGTGTTTTAAAACCATGAGGCTAACGACGATACGTAATAGGTCAAAGCGGACAATATCTGCTAACAATGTACTTTAGTTGTTTTACAAATGGTATCTAAGCCAGACACCAAGCAGTGTGCTATCAAGTACACTGGACCCCCCACGAGAGTGGATTGTGAGATCTCACATAGGTGAGAGAGGGGAATGAAGTATTCCTTATAAGAGTGTGGAAACTTTTACTTAGTAGACGCGTTTCAAAATCGTGAGGTTGACAGCGATATGTAATGGACTAAAACGGATAATATTTGCTAGCGGTGGGCTTGAGTTGTAAATGTTGGCTGTTTTGTTACACCAAGAAATTGTTCCTGAACCAAACTTCGAATTTTGCATGTACTGACTGACTCATGACTCCAACGACATGTACCTACTAGTTGTTGTATCATTTCATCATTCTAACTCCTTGCGTTCATATGCACAAAACAAAATTGCTTCTCAACTCCATCGATTTAATCTATGTAAGAGCTTCCAACAAAGGACACCATTCATCGTTGATGGCAACAGAAGGTTCTGTAAATTCAACTGGTTTTGGTCTCTCATTGAAAAAAAAAAACACAACTTAGAAAAATAAATAGATACAACTCTCAAAACAAGACAATTATTTTAAAAACAAAAGAATCGAACACCAATCTGGTGATTTGCCAGTCAAATACACGATGCTGTGGAGGCAAATGTTTAGTTTCATAAGGAAAAAGACTTGACATAGAATACAGTAGCTAAAACACAACCTAAACTGCATGTAAACAAGTAACCGTGTGTAAAAAATACAAGGTTTTTGACAAAAGTACAATATATCTAGAGTCTAGTTCTGTTTAGACTGCCCTCTGGTGTCGAGTGGTTCGCCACTGCTCTTAGGCTTGGCCGAGACGACTTTTGCAGGGGTTGACCGCTCCGATTGGGAGAAACGTATGAGGATCTGCATGAGAACTGTAACAATGGCGAGGCAGGATGCTGAGAAAGTAAGACCTTTCCATGAGGATAAGAAGGAAGAGCCTTGAAGAAGCTTGAGGGAACCCAAGATGAGTAAACATGTCCATGAAATTACTACCTGTTCACAGTAAACAGAAAAAAAAAAAAAAAATTACAGCTCTTGATTAAGTTACACCTCAAAACCTAATCATGAAAAGCACTCAAAACCCACTCACAAAATCAAGCAAAAAGTTACTAAATTTCGCAATAAAATTCCTCAATCCAACACAAAATAGTTTTCTAGAAGTGTAGACTTAAAAAACAAGTGCTATAAACATTTCTCTAGTTCAAATATTATGTAAATTTAACTCTTTATTTTGTGGGTGGAGGCAGGGAGGAGCTTACCAGGAGAGACTTGATTGGCCGACCAAGGTCCTGTAATTCTTGATCACTAAAGGTGTCTTCTGCTACATGCTTATCCATCAGCGCATCCTGGAAGGCAAGAAACAAGAGGGTAAGACAATTGATCCATGGCATTTCACCTAGAACAGGAATGACTGGATAATATAAACCTTTGCCACAAACATATCTCTACACCATTGTGCAATGGCATCGTCTGTCTCAGGCAATTCCTTCATTGAATGTCGCTTTATGTGCACATGTACCTATAATAGCAGATGGAGATAGATAAGGGAATTATCTAAAGATAGAACCAACGACCAAGCATTGAATGTCTCAGGCAATTCCTTCATTGAATGTCGCTTTAGTGATCAATCTCTATGATTTTTTTGTAACTATCAATTAGGTTTATTCTTTGGCTTTTTTTTTTTTTTTTTTTTGGCTAGTTTGGCTCAAATTTGTTTTTTCAACCTGACAGTATGATCGATATTGTCTACTTTGAGCATAAGCTCTCATGGCTTTGCTTTTGGTTTCTCCAAAAGACCTCGTACCAATGGAAATGTATTCCTTACTTGTAAACCCATGATCAACCCCTTAATTAGCCGATGTGGGACTCCTCTCCCAACAATCCTCAACAATTCTCAACAATCCTCCCCTCGGACAAAGTACACCTTTTGTTAGACACTTGAATCACTTTTGACTACACACCTTCGAGGCTCACAACTTCTTTGTTCGATATTTGAGAATTCTATTGACAAGGCTAAGTTAAGGGCATGACTTTGATACCATGTTAGGAACCATGACCCTCCACAATAGTATGATATTATCCACTTTGAGCATAAGCTCTCGTAGCTTTGCTTTTGGTTTTTTCAAAATGTCTCATACCAATGGAGATAGGGTTCCTTACTTAAACTCATGATCTTTCCCTTAATTAGCTAACGTGGGACTACTCTCCCAACAATCCTCAACACCTCCTCAACATGCATATTCTTTAATTGCGATTCTCAACAAAAGTTCGATTTCCCATGTGTGTACACGTGTATTAAAATAATCAATAAGTTCACATTTTAACTTTACGATGATTTGTGAGTGGAGTTTTTCTTTAATTTAATTGTTGAAGGATACAGATTTAATTACCCATACCAATCAAGATTATTGAATCTCATATTCACTACTAAAGTAGAACAGAAAATTAGTCCCAATACACCAAGCTCTACTAAAGCAACGAAGAACTCTGCTTTAACCCTCCAAATAGATTTAGCCATTAAAAGGAAAAACATTAGGGAAAAAAACACTTATCCAAAGCAACTTACCACAGAAGGCTGCCCCTTGAAGAGTCTTAGCATTGTCGGTGGAGGTGAGCTTTTGGGAATAGCTACTGTTACATCATAAATTGCTGGAACAAAT